CCTTGGCGAGTGCTCACCCAGGATCTCCGTGGTACTGTAGGATGTAAATGGTCTCTTCTCAGGGGTTATAAAATGCCTGACTGGCATAGGCAGAGTTCAGGATCAGCTGAATTCTTGGCAGTTTTGTGCATGGCCACACCACCTGCTAGCTCTGTGCAGAGCATGGAGTCCCTCCTTGTCCTGTCCTTCTCCTTTAAACATAACAAAGTGAAAAGACAGAAGCAAGAAGGCAAACTGCTGTGTGGTGTTTCCTCACAGACAGCAAGACAGAGTGAAGCAACAGGATACATGAAAGGGTTTCAGCAGGATGAAGAGTAAAGTTCTGGACTATTTTCCTTTCATTAATCTGTCACCTGCTATGAGGCTCCTTTATCTTTGAGCCTGAGAAGGCCCCATTTTGTCCAGTTCATTTTAATCGCTGCATTTAAATATGCGTGTAAAAAACAACAACAAAACCCCATCTGCATGAAACCAAATTTGATATTTGTTCCCTCTCTTAATGCAATCCCATGAATTTCTTACATTGTTGTGTCCCATGTAGTAAAGGTCCCATGCAGAGAGCAAACAATACAGCAGTGAGAAGACAGATGCTCTACTAATGGGAAAGCAAGGAGCAGAGAGCCTGTGAGGGATTACAGGCAGCCTGGGGTTGGAATACATTATTAGCATAGCACCCAATTCAGAAATTAGTTTTCAGAACTAAATGCCTGAAGCATTTTGGCAAAAATTCCTTATCATCCCGCTTAAAAACTCTTAAAGCGTAAAAGAGTAGGAATCTCCAGCCTAGGCTGAGCAGCCACGCTCGGGGACTTTGCAGTGCTGCTGCAGTGAATTGGAGATTTTACAGCTTCATACCATTGCCGGGGCAGCAGCTGCCACACCCACTGAAATGTAACCCACTGGCTCTGCTTGCACAAACCTTCAGCAGGTTTTGAACATCCTCATCAAAGAAGCAAATGGGCCTGAATGAGATTCCAGGGTCTGTTTCCAGGAGGAAGGTTTTGTGTTGTTGAGTGCATAACAGCAGGGAAGAGCAGCAGCCCCTCCTTGGGCACGGTCAGGCATGTGAAGGAGGAGCCAGTGACATGTCTTTTCAAAGGCCTGACATTGCCTAAGGTACAAAGTTTGGGTCCTGAAGCCTTTTTCAGGCACACTATTTTCTGAATGTTTTTCTTTTGAAAGTCATGATGGGAACATCGAACTTTAAAAGACCCTGGTAGACAACCGAGATTTGCCGCAGGACTGAGAACAGACAGGAGAAATTGTTTCTCATAGTACTTGGTGGGATTATCCTCCATGCATAATTGTTCATTATATGCTCAAAATTCATTGTTAATTTCTTTTAGAGATATTGCATATTAGATAGAAGAGTTATAAATCCCAAGATTATCACAGGAGGATACTAACAGGCCTAAATATTCAGGACAGAAGGGGTCTTGTTTTCCTCTTACATTGGAACAAAGACTCTTGGACAGGATCATTAGAGTTTTGTTTTTTGGTTTTTTTGCCTGTTTGATAATCAAAGTATATTGGACAGCAAACAAAAGAAAAGTTCAGCCAGCCAAGTCTTCTACTTTATTTTTACTCTTCTATTCTAACATAATTAACATATTTCTCAAGGTTTATTTAGTTTCCCAGAGTCTTATTTTATATAAGTGTCATTGAGGAGCTGAATTACAAAGTCTTGATTTGTGCATATAAAATGAGATTTTATTATCCTGGTAGAGAAGACAAGGACAAGGTAAATATGGGAGAAAACAGTTGAGACCAGACTAAGAAATCAGGAAAAATAATATGCCAGCTCTTCAACTTACACTTTGTTTTCTTTGCATCCTGGTGTATCCAGCATTGTACTCCTGAGTCACAGAAGGGAGAGTAAAGGGTAACACTTCATTTTCAGCTTTGAATTTCAAAACTGGTCTTCTAATAACAACTTCTCTCAGTGTTTTTATATATGCTTAAGGAGTATCTGTAGTGAATATTAGGGAGAGTTCAAAATGAGGTTTCCCATTTGTTGTGGATACAGAGTGTCCATAGACTTCTGACTGTTCCTATCCAGCCTGAGATTGGTCTGTATTTACATCACTTTATTGCTCTGCCAAGAAAATGCTTTTTTTAAGAACCTGGCACAGTGGGAACCCTTCTAGAGTAAGGCTAGAATTGAGCCCCACACTGCTTAGATCCTGAATGAATTTGTGCCTATGAATACCATGGGAACAGGAACGAGAGCTGAGATTTTTGGCTTCCCCATGGGGGTCTTGCCTATAAACCTGTGTCATTTCACTGCTTCACCTCAGCCTGTTTTTCACACCTTCAGATTTGGAATGGATGTGCTCAAAAGCTCTTTTTACTCCTCTGACTCTGTCAGGAATAAGAAAGGCTCCAAGTCTGTGTAGTGAAACCTCTCTCAGTTACCTGCTCAGTTGCCTGCTCCTCCCTCCCAGCCATGCTGGGAGCCCACCCGGGAGGCTCTTGGTGTGCTGAGAGACAATAAAGAGGCTGTTCTGCCTTGTCTGCAGTCTGGAGCAAGTCACAACTCCTCTCCACATCTCTGAAGATTGTTAATAATCGAGTGCTTCAAAGACAGACGTTGACAATTTTAATTAGTATTTTAAGACTTTTAAATTCTGCTTCTAAAAGTCAAAGCTTAGTACTGTAGCTCTGTTTGAACACTCCAAATTAGGATCAAACAGTGCAAAGAAGCAGCAGTAAGCTCCAGAAATGTCGAGAAATTAATTTATTGCTTTTAGCAGCAGTGTCCCACAGTATTGCCATCATGTAGAAAAGAATGCTGCTGGGCTCTGAGGCTGTTATTCTTTTCCAGTCCAATTAGGTTTAAAACAAAGCAGACCTGGATCCAAAACCTCGATCTAACTGAACCAGGCCTTCAGTCTGTCTGGGATTGACCCTGTGACTAGGAGAGAAAAGAGTGGAGTGCTAAAGGACCAGCTCCCTGAGCCCATGAAATACTGTGTCACTGCTGTTAGACTTACTGCCATTCTGCAAAGTTTTCTTAATGGGGTAATCCAGTTCTGGATATGTTTGACTAATAACAATTCTCTTGCTAAAAACAAATAATGGTTTTAATTTAATAGGGTTAGTTATATAAAGAGTGATTTTGTGTCAGCAAAGCCTTTCTTTCTGACAGAAGTGTAATTTATGACAATCTAGTTAGCAATAAATGCCATTAATCTGACCACTATGCCATTCTTTTCCTGGGGAATAATGTCCCCTCTTAATCAATAGCTGTGTGAATGCTCCTTTGCATTCCTTATCAAATGACAGCCAGATGGTACTGGTAAATTCATTCCAGCAGGATTTTAGAATTAGCTGGGTTTGTGCTGTTGTTAATCCTCTGCTGTCTGTGTCACTAGGACCTGCCCACCTGTTTCCAGTAAGCCTGGAGTTCCCAGCCCTAGGAAGCAGTCTAGCCAGAGGGTTACTCAGTCATGGGGCAGCCAAGAAACATCCCAAGCAGTGAGACCTTTTTTCTGCATCAGTAAGAAGAGCAAAAAAGCAAAGAAAAGTAGTATGTTGCAGAAATAGCCAGCTAGGACTGCCTGCCTCTGTATTTGTTCCTCAACACCCTGATCTCTTCTAGGGGAGTTGAAAAGTTTCTTAAGACTGCATGAGCTGTGTTTCTTAGGGCATGGTGAGTTTTGGGCTGTGACAGCTGCTATATCATTTACTGACTTCCAGAGCCATTTAAGTGTCTATGAGACCTTTCCCTTCATAATCACTTTGTTGCATAGCAACAATAATTTTATCTCCAACCTATTGATCCAACATAATATGTAATCCCCTCACTCCAATAAAAAGGAAAACATATGGCAGCTCCAGGCAGGGAACCACAGGCTTTTGATGTGAGGGGACAGCTAATCCCCACTAAACCAGGAGGAATGGAGCAAGATACACACTCTGGGGCTCAGGGGATGCATTAGGTGCCTGAGCCAATTAACCTGTGTTCTAGAAGAGTCTGGTTTACATTCATCCTCCTCTTCCTCATCCTTTATGTTGTGCAATTAAAGCACATTTCAGGTGAGCTCTGCTAGAAGAGCATCAGTGTACAACACCCCCAGGTAGGGGGGTACCCCTTCTCCTGGCAGGATGGTGCACACACAACTCTCAGCTGAGATGGGGCTGCAGAGGGTGAGGAGAAAGAAAGTTCAGCCCCTGCAAACACCAGCTTCAAATGTACATGGCTGGAGTTCCTCAGGAAGATGTCTCTTGTTTGTAGGCTGTGGCTTGTAGGTCAGTCTGATTACCTGGATGGTTCTTCTATACCTCTAAACAGAGGACTAAAAGCAGACCTTGGCATCTGAAACAGGATCTGCCTTGGGGACAGGAGTACAGAGTTAAGGTCAGAACTGCTCAGGCAGAGAACACAGAGCTTTGGTCCCAAGCAGGCAAAGCATCTCCCCAGAGCCATGCCCTTGGCAGTGCAGCATGGGCTGACAGCTGGGCTTTGGATCATCCTTCTGAGGTACCTCACTGCTGCCCACATTGTGCAGTGAGCCCAAGCTCCTGTGAGTGCACTGGATTCTTCCCTGCCTGGAAGGCTTGGTATCCACAAGGCAGCTAAATCCTTCTCAGGCCTATCTTCATTTTTTAGCTTGCAAATAGCACTGAGTGAAATATAGGTCCAAAGTCTGAGATCTCTAATTTCAGCAGGAATTGGGAGGTGAGTCCAATGCTATTTAAAACAACCACCAAAAGAGTCAATTCAAGCTAATTTCTGCACATCAAACACAAACTTTCCATATATCAAACTTACAATAATACTGTTACATTGGGAATCTCAGTGGAAATATTGCAGTGGATCAGAAGGCCAAACTGGTATCTGAACATGCTGCAAAAGCCAAGCAAAGGCTTCTGAGTCACTGTCTCCCAAACCTGTGTCATACACAGCACAGTAAAATAGCACAGCTTTCACCTAAAAGGTATTTCTGTGGCAAGAGGAGTGGCTACTAATGATCCTTTCTTTTCTGTCGTTTTAACAGTATTCGGGTTTTCAGCAAACAGCAGACAAGTGCTTTGTTTGTGGACACCTCATAATGGAAATGGTAAGAGACCTAAACTCCTAATGATGGGTGGCTTGGGAAGTGCACTGTGAGACTGCTTTTCCTTACCCAGGCTGCTGTTGTGTCTTCACTGCTGTCAATATAGTTATTGAAACTGAAGCAGTAAATAAAGATACCTTCATACTCTATTATTACTATAAAGTACAGAAAATTTGGCTTCTTTTCTGCCTACGAATATGGAAGGTTGTTATTCTGCCATTTGTGAGTTAAAATAAAATAGAATTTTAATATTAAAGGGTGAAAGTACAACACAACTTCATATGAGAACATGGTAAAGGAGCATGGTGGGTGTGCTCTGTAAGACAGCAGATAACAAGAGCTCAGTCAAGTGGGTGGAATCTGGGATAGAGCAGAGAGGGACATTATCAATAGTCCTGAGGTTTGTCACCTGCTCTGTGACTTGCTTTGTTTACCCTCTGTTTGCTCCACGTCATTCCAAATGCATTATTGCCACTGGGATTTGTAGGGAGCCAGTAGTCAGAGTTACTTCTGTGATAAAAAAAAGTCAAAGGGCTTTGGGTTGGCCAGATACTACTGACATCGTTTCAGTGGGTGAAATGATGTGAAAAGAGTTTTGTGTGCTCTTCCTAAGCAGAAATTCCCTAACAAAATGAAGTGGTTTTCACAACGGAGAAGGGCAGATCCTATAGTGTATCTGTTCTCCTCTTGATTTAAAGTGTGCATGAACCTCAGTGTGCCTAAGACAAGTAGCTGTTGTGCTGCACACACGGAGGTTCAGTTGGAGCTGGAACAGAGACTTCACTAATGAGGATTCTGGCTTATATCCTGGCACCACTGGTTGGACAAGGATATTGTTCGTTTTAGCCCAAGAGCAAATTTCTAGAGTTGTGTCATGCTGGGAGGGGGAGGGGGATCCTGACTTGCATGCTTTGAGCTGGCCCTTAATTGCAGAATCCCAGGCAAGAGTCCATAATATCTTGCTGGTGGAGCTCAGTAGCTGAAGCTTTGGCAGGTGCTTGTCTGCCTCTCTCCCATCAGCAAGTGTGCTCTGACAAAAGGAAACAGCTCTGGGAGCTCCAGGAATTCAGCACTCCTATTTGGCTAATTCCAGTGGGTTCCTGCCGTGTGCTGGCCTGGGGCAGAGCTGGGGCTGTGCAGGGCTGGGTGAGGAGCTGCCCTGTGCCCAGTGCCTGCACAGCTGTGCCAGGCACCACAGCACGCTCCTGCAGCAGCACCAGCTCCAGCCTTTCCAGTCAAACAGAGTCTGATAGCACTCACTGAACTCTACAGGGCTTCAGCAGGGAGGGGGAAAAAGGTTAAATTAAATTGGCCTTTTTTTCTGTACTTCTTTCCTCCTGGTTTGATCTTTATTCATAGAATCACCAATAGGGCCAAGGGAGCTTGGTCAGTGGAGATTTCTCATCTCAAGCTTCCCAGCAGCTCCAGGCTGAGTACAGCTAGCAGCTGAAATGTTGAAATTACCTTCCAAACATACTTATGCCCAAAATGTATGGAATTGGTCATATAGTCTGTTGAGAGCTGCCTGAAATTGATAACTGTGTCTCACTCTTCCCAGGGGCTTGTTCATGGGCTTGCAGCATCCTCCTCAATGTCCCAGTGCCACACTGGGTGTTACCTACAAGGATGGTCAGGACTGGGGGGGATCTGTTCTGTAGCAGTGCAGCCAAAGCTGCTTCAGACCTTTCCTTGAAACCTTTAAAATGCAGTAGGGAAGGTCAGCATGGGAAAAGCCTGGGCAGGTGCATGGATACGTAACCAAACACATGGATAGTGATGGCATCTTATTAGAAATGGATGGACTAAATGATAACCAGTCAGTAACTCTGGGAGATTAGGATCCTTAGTTAATAAAGAAGCACCTCTTTATTTGCTTGTTTTATTATTTAACTTTTTGAGTAATGACCAGTTTGGATTCTGTCACAGCCTGCTAAGTTTTGTAAAGTAACTCTGTAGCCCAGTAACTTGTATTTGGGATTTCCCCAGAAGTGGTCTGTGAAGCAGTTTTTAATTTCCATTGGCAATATTGGCACTGCAGAGCTAAAGCTTGATGGATTTAGCCTGATTTTCAGTTCTTGCTCTTCTTTGGGAGCATATTGAAACCCACTAAAATAAGCAACTTGTTTGTTTTAAGACACCCCTTGCTGACAGATCTGCAGAGTGGTAATTTCATCCTGAATTGCTTTTCTCACTGTCATTATAAAGAATAAGAGAGACACAGCAGTTTATGGGGAGTAAATAGTTCATGTAATCAAGTATCCATTTATTTTGTTGTTTGCCTCTTAAGATCTTACAGGCCCTTGGAAAATCCTACCATCCTGGCTGCTTCCGCTGTGTGGTGTGTAACGAGTGTTTGGATGGAGTCCCCTTCACTGTAGATGTGGAAAACAATATTTACTGTGTCAAAGACTACCATACGTGAGTACACAAATCCACTGCATGCTCAGAAAAATAATACCAGTTAAATCACTGATGTAGTTATAAGCCTTGTAATGGGTAAAAAGGTCACTCCTATTTGCTCAGATGTCCCTCAACTGCTTCTTTCATGTGTTTCATTTGTAAAGTATTTTAAGATTTGTTAAGTAGTATGTTAAGTATGGCATACTTCAGCCAAGTGAGGCTGAAAATCAGATTATATCAGAGGATGTGTTTCTTGGGGGCTGTTCCTCTACTTTCAGGACTACCAACACTAATTATACCAGGCCAGCTCTGCAGGTGTTGGTAGGTTCTGCTGGCTGTTACAAGAGTAGAGGTTCTGGCAGTGCTTGACACAGGTGTAAGTTTTGTTAACTGAGACAGAAGTGTAATTAACAGTTAGTTTAGAACAATTTGAGCCTTATCTGACAAAAGGTAGAGGGCTAAGAGATTGCTTTTGGACTCCTTCCTGATTCTGCTCAAAGGCAACAGGATCCTGCTCTTAGCTCCAGTTAACCAATAACTCAGTTATGCAGCAGGAGTAAATCACCCTGAAGTCAGCCCTGTGGGTGCCAATCTGACTGTGTTACAAGGACACAGTGAGTGTTGTCCCAGTGGCTGTCATACAGTGCAGCTGTGGACCATAAACCCATTTGTGTATTTAGCTGGAAGATTCTGGCCATGATCAGCCCCTCTCCTCTCCTTTAGCATGGTTATGTCTTTCTGATGTCAGAGAATGACATCCAGAAGTCAGGAGCTGCTTTGTAGTCAAGCATCAAGGCTCTGGAAGAATTTGAATGGTTTTATAAATAAAGGAAAGAAAGAAAAATGGCATATACAGGAAGAGAGGTGGATTAATTATGCCTCAAGGTCAGGAAGACCTAAACAATAAAGTTGGGGTCGATCAGCCTTTTCCAAATCTCCTTCTCAATGAATATCATCAAACAATTAGAGGCGTTTCAAATCCTGTGGATCTCCATTTTACTAAAAACAAGGCATGATTAGAATGGCTCTTTTGGTTCTACTATTTGAAGGTGCTTTAAATGTGATTGGAACACTTTCTTCTTGCACCGTAGGGTTTTTGCACCAAAATGTGCTTCCTGTAACCAGCCGATCCTCCCAGCACAGGTAGGTGTTAACATGTTAACTGACTCTTAGGGAAAACAGCTGTTGGCATATGGGCACTTCCTAAAAACACACATGAAGGCTTTTCCTTCCTCTCCCAGAATCTGTACTATGTTAGTTACCAAATTAAATCAGAGTTCATCAGTAAAGTCACTTCCAAACATTCCCAGAGGTTGTAATAGTCATACTACCTCTACAGCATAGTACTTTATATCTTTAGGTCTTCAGGTCTTAGCTGAATACCTAAAGATATTGGTCTTTAGGTCTTTAAACCTTAGCTTTCCAGGTCTTCATTAATCTGTTAGAAACCTCATTTAATTGAAAACACTGACTGGAGAACAACTCTGGGAGTAAAGCCCTTGAAAAGGCATCTGATGGTTACCCTGACCCTGTGAGAAGGCCACACACAGTCTGTTGTTCTGAGGTGGCAATAGAATGAAAGTTTTTAAAGGGGTTGAAAAGGCAACAACAAAAATGGAACCAGGTGAAGCCTGCTTGCAAGCTCAGCCCAGGCTGACAGTGCTGTCGGCACAATTAGACCAGAGTGGGGCTCCCTCATGCTCTGGTTGGTGCAGAACCCTCTGAGTTGCCTTTGCTGAGGTCACTGACCACCATTTCATTTGTAAACAAGGGCCTCAGCATCTCCCTGCTTTTCCTCCAGTCAGAGTTTCCCTCCTGTAAGCTACTGGGCTGCAGTAAAGACTGATGCTAGAGCCTCTCACCTGCCCACCTCTCCATCACTGCATATTACTCTCATTTGTCAGTAGCATTTCTGTTAACTGGCCAAGTCTTACATAACCAAAAACCCTATAAAGGCTGAACCAGAACTGTTTGTCCTGATGGATTGTGAGGAGAAAACCTCTATGTAAATGCCACTGAATTTGGGTCTTAAAAAATAGTTCTTTTTTTCTTTTCAAGAAAGAAAAAGAAATAAAAGGCAGTCGTAGTGCTGACTCACCTGATGACTGGCAGGACACACTCCATATTCTTTCCCAGGGAGACTTCTTAGGTTAGTTCAAGTCTAGCAGTGCAGGTGCTAACTTGCCCACAGCTTCTCTCAGACATAGTCCACGTCATATCTGGTGCTCCAACCACACCTGGACCTGGAAACAATGCAAGGCAACCAATTTAATGAGCTCTGTCTTCAGAGAGGATCAGCAAAAGAGCCTGTGAGGTTACTAGAAGGGTATGGGCTGCTCTGCAGGGCCTGGGGCTCAGCCAGGAATTGCACAACTCTCCTACACCCACCCTCACGCTGAGGTTTGGCCTGTGCACGTAATTACCTGCCAGACTGGTATGTCAGTCCCTGTGGGGACACAGTGACATGTGCATGTGCAAAAGGGCTGTGCAGCAGGTGGTTTGAGAGGAACACAAGTCCTGGAAATCAGAGCAGGATGTGTACAAGGAAAAGCTACCCAAAGAGCAGGTTTTTGACTGGTAATTTGTTCAGATTCTGGGTGCCCTTGGAAGATTGCTTGATTTCAAGACTGATTTGTTCCTTGAGGATGAGGTTGTGGCTACAATTCCCAAATGACCTCTGCAGCTTAGATGTGCCAGACACCCCGACTGCTGCTACAAAGCTAAGGGGTGGTGCAGTGCCAGGTCCTGGGGTTAAGACCTTCAGTGGTCACAGAGCTCTGCTGCATGGGGGAACAGGGGAACAGCTCTCCAAAGACTGAAGAAATGCTTAGACACCACTGTCACTTTCTCTCTGCTCCACCCCAGGGCTCCGAGGAGACCATCCGGGTGGTGTCGATGGACAAGGACTACCACGTGGAGTGCTACCACTGCGAGGTGAGCCCCGGGCTCTGCCTGCCTGCCCCATGGCCGGCTCTGCCTCGGGGGGATCTGCTCTGCTTCAGGGGGGGATCTGATCTTCCTCAGAGGGGTCTTGCTCTGCCTCGGGGCGGGGGGAATCTGCTCTGCCTCGGGGGGATCTGCTCTGTCTCGTGGGGGGGATCTGCTCTATCTCAGAAGGACCTTGACTCACCCCATGGGCTGTGCTTGCTGGCTCTAACACACCTGGGCAGGTAGGGCTCTGCCCCACAGCTCCTGGAGGAAGACAAAGGGGTGAATGCTGCCTGGGCTGCAAGTGGTGCTGCCATCACCAGTACCAAATTAGTTATGGAGGGGTTTTCCCCAATATATTACCTTCAAAGCTGGACTTGGTTTGTTGGGTTGAATTTTCTCAATACTTCTGGATGGGGAGTGAGCAAAGAGTAGGTAGGTGTCAGTTCTCTTTTTCCTCATCTCTAGGTACAGTCTGTAGGGCTCCAGTCTGAGGAGACTTGAATTTACATTGGCTGTGTAGGGAAGGAGTCTCACTGGAAGGCCTTTCTAGGGGATCTGGTTTTTCTGTGCTGAATGAATATTGATTCTTTACTAGGAAATTGACAGGGATACCATGGACTTGCTGTCATTTTTTTGGGAGTAGTTTCTTATTGAGCAGAACATTTAAACAGTTATTGTCACAGATCAAGTTGTGGAATTAATGCTCTTGCTTCAGAGAGGAGACCTGAGTTCATCCTTAGTCCTGCATCCAGGAACATAAGCAGGGAAACAAACTCACTAAGTTGGGATCAACCAAAAACTTCCCTTTTGCTGTAGGTTTGGCACTCTGATATAACACACAGATCTTACCTGTTAACACCAGGGGCAACCATACAGCAGTGCTGCCTTCATGCACTGTTGCACAAAGGTTTTACAAAGAATCTGCTGACTGAGAGAAAATTACAAAATTCAGGGCATCTTGAAATAGTATGTACCTAAATGTAAGGAAGGCCCCATCCAGTCAGCCATCTCTTTTCAACTGACACCTGATACTCCATCCATTTCTATTAATTTTTCAAGAGAAATTGGTACAGGAAATCACAGTATTTTGGAGAGCTGAACTTCCCTCCTCCTTCCCCCAACTATTGCTTTGTGCAGGCTTCACCTAAGATGACAGCTCCCTCCCCTGCTCTCAGGCTATTGACTTTATGCTGGAATGTCCCACTGGGGGTTTATTTTCTATCGTTTCATTATTCATTTCCCCATTCTCCTCCCCATTTTGAGGCAAAGCAAGCTGCCTCCACATCTGCCCAGAAAGGCAGAGTGCATTTATGTACAGAAATCAGGAGTTAGCCATGTGTCAGCAGGGGTGGGTTACTGCCTGATGCTCTCAAATCAGGCTCTCTGTACACTGCTGTCCCCAAATGCTGCGGCAAAAGTGAGTGCCAGGATTTTGAGGTACACACATGAAAACTTTAGCAAAGGTTGCCATGACTTAGAGCACCACTTCTCATCTGCTTTTGATGTCATTCTCACCTGCTGGCCATGCACAGTCAGTGGTCAGGTTGGAAACTTTGCAGCTTTTCTGTGTCATCTCTTCCATGTGCAACCACTTGATTTCTGTGGAGGAGCTGAAGCCCTTTTGCAGATCACTGGAGCCCCATTCTGAAACTGGAATCCACTGACAAGGCAGGCTTTCTCCTTGCAGAAAGGGAGTGCAGTATTGGAGAAGGAAAAGATACAAACACTTGGCACATCTGCAAGGCATCTGAAATTGGCAAATTCTAATTTTAAATCTTGTATAAATTGCTATAAAATCATTATATAATATGTAGCAACACACAGAAAATTACTTTGGCAGATACTTTGATTAAGACCCTTCTAAACTAACACTCCAGTTTTAAAGCTTACTTTAAAACTTTAAAACCCATTTTTAGTCTTATTTCATTATTGTAAAATTTGGGGATTTAAACTTGAGCTGTGAAAGCTGAAAAATTATACTTTGTGTTCATTTAAAATCTTTGCATTTGTTTTCAGTAGTAAAACCATCTCTATTCCCAGTTTATTCTGGGTTTTTTTTTCTTTCTATTATGTGCACAGATACATACTCAGAATCCCCGATTTCTCAGAATTGATCATGTTAATAATTTCTAAGTATTTAACATCCTTGAAATATTAAATCTGAACACCAAACTTCAGTGATTTCCAAATGCCCTCAGAATTACAGTGATGGCAAGTGGAAATCAGGATGGTCTCTATTGCAGTGTACATAAGAGTCAGGAGGCAGGATCACTGTTAGTTGCTTCTCTGTCTCTGTCTGTAGTTACGTGCCAGTCCCAGGGGTTACCAGCATTTCTAGTAAAGATGGACCACTGGCCTTGAAGTCTTTAAGTTCTTTTAATTCCAAATTAGTGTAAATCTGCTCCAGAAGTAAGATATGTCACCTCTCCCCCCTTTTCCCCTCCCCTCTCATTCTCTACTTATCCTCCCTCACATCTTGCTCGCTGCCTCGCTGCAGAATTATTTCCTTCTCTGTTCGAGCCTCTTCCAGGTTGTGTTTGTCAGGGTCAGCCCCTAGCCTGCTTTTAGGCTTTTGATTTGCATCACCATTTATTAGATGGAGGAGAGACCAGAATGGGAAACAGTGGTGAAAAAAGGCTGGGCCCTATTATAGCCTGTGCTGTTGGATTTCAGTAATGTCAGTGTGCGATGGTCAGGGTGCACCTCCCAGAAGCTGTGGAGGCTGCTGGCTTTGGAGGCGGGAGGGAGCTCTTGGGGCCGTGCAGGACAGACCAGCAGCACTGTGAGAGGCCTGCCTGAGTCACTCACTGATCTGAGATGTCTCTTTCTTCTAGGACTGTGGCTTGCAGCTCAATGATGAGGAAGGCCATCGTTGTTATCCCCTAGAGGGCCACTTGCTCTGCCACAGCTGTCATATCAGGCGCCTTAATATCAAACTGCCATCACATCCACCTCCGAGCTACCCCATGCATGTCACAGAACTCTGAAAGACATTTCCATGGTCAATAAGCTGTTTGAAAGAGAAGACAAAAGTTTGAAAATCACTTTCATGTTCCTTTAAAGATGAGGTTCCAGTAATAACCATCTAAACCATCTATTTATTTTTTAAATCAGAGGTGAGGGGGTCCTTTTCTGATCTTGTACATATGTTCTTTTATCTAGACATTTTCACCGAGACACTGTCTACTTGAACAAATAATTCACCACTAAACTGTAACTGTAAATGGCAGCATTTCTGAAAACAATGGTACAAAGGGCTGTTCTGGACTCCCTACTTGCTTCCTTCAGTGGAGATTTCACCCAAGTAAGGAGTAGAATTACTTTCCAAAAGTTAGCACCTTATCATATTGCAGCAAGCATGATAAGATAAATGCTTGCATTTTAGCTAGTTTTGTTGAATTCTGGTCTTAGAGAATACTTAGATTCCAGAAGTAGGGAATAGGCAGCAAGCAGGTGTTTAAGCCAGGGCAGTTTTCAGCAAGGTAAGGAAGGGTGTTCTGTGTTCTGTGAAGAAGTGTCAGGCCAGCTCTCCATCCTGCAGGGTCCCACAGTCATCCAAAGACTAATTATTCAGCTTGCTCAAGAAATATGGCAAGGATTTGATGTAAAACCCATGGTACAGAGGATTGTATCCAAAAGATTGGCACGTGCAGGGTCAGTAGTTGCAGCCCTCTGTAATTGCTGGCTGTGTAGCCATGGCTTCAAAATGCATTCCTATCAACTGGACCATTTGGCACTTACTAAAGAATTCATCTTTCAAACCTGTTTTTTGTTCAATAGGGTTCTATGCAAGGGTACACTTGTCTTTATACTGCTTGTTTTATCCAAGACTTCATTTGTTACCAACTGCTTCATGATTGTATGTTGAGACATTATTAAAGAGAGGCCCAGTGGTTTGGTATTACCTTTTCAGCTTTGTGTTCTTTTCGAGATTACTTTTGAACTGATTATGGTTATTGTCTTCACTGGAAAACAAAGTGCAGTATGGCAGGAATAGTAACTTAGAGAGTCAGACCACAAAACATCGGTGTTTACAACAAGTATTAGCTGTACACAGAATGTACACACTTTCATGTTTTGCATAAGCTTTTACAGTACCCTCAGAGCTCTGGGGAGAGATATATGTCTTCCATATAGGAAGTTAGATGAATCTTTTTTTATGGTTTGTTTTCTACCACGTGCTGATGTTTTACATACAAATCACACCATCTGTATGTCAAAAAAATTCCTTGCATTCTCATGAGAATTGACCCAGCCTTCCTGAAGCTGCAATTTATCATTGCTGTCTTTAACTGTATTCAAAGTTACAATAAAATAAAATTCTTCAGCTCCAGAGGAAGCAGAAATACCAGGTTCTTGGCATGTGTAAACTGGGATATTTCCATGCCAGTTCTCCACACTTGAGAATCTGCCCGATCTGTTCGGAAATGATCCTGTGTTAAATTCAGCATGCAGACTGATGGAATGACTTATTTGGCAACACCATTGCAGTTTAGTTTCTTATGCTCCATTGACTTTTTGAAAGCCATTTGTGGTGCTCTTGAAAAGCACAAAGAGCATCCAATGGCCACTAATTCCTAAGTGGAATAATTAACTCCCTTAACAGAACTTTTTGACAGTCTGGAATTTCCTTATGGGGAAAGGTGGGGGGCAGGGGAACAGAAAAAATTCTTGAGAACTATTTTTTTTCTGTTAGTGAGGAACAAAAGGGATGCTTCCTGAACTTCTGCCAGACTTCCATGGCCTAAATTAACCTGTCCTACTGAAGGCTCCTGGGCAAAGTAATTTTGTAGTTAATATATATCAGTTTATAATTAAAATATTTAATGTGAATGCCAGGATTTGAAGGAACTACAGTGCAATCAGTGCCCCATTCCTGTGCTGTGGTCCTAGAGGCCTGGCCTGCAAATGAGAGGCCAGGAGTGCACATGCAATTCTGCATTTGCTGACACTCTCTCTGTGTCCATAGTCAGCAGCCCAGCCTCAGGAGGAAGTGGAACTACACATTCCAGCAAATGTTGGAGAAAGGGGAAAAAAAAATGTCTTAAACTGGATTGTATGACCAGGTCAATTCCTTCAGGTCATTACAAACATGGAAGGCACCAGAGCTTCAGGATAAACTTTTAGCATCAGCTACAATGGAATTCTTTTTTCATTGCAGGAGGGTGCTTTGGACCACATTTAGCCTTGAGGTATTTTCATCTGCTTGTCTTTACAATATATATTAAGGGACCCAGATTAAGAAAGGTGATTAAAATACACAAAGAAGATTTGGGTCTCTTCCTGGGAACAAATAACAGTTACTTGCTGAACTGGAAAATGCTTTGCTCTTCCAGTAGAGAGGCAAAACCTTCACACTGACGGTGGACAGAGCTGGAGGTGACTGACTCTGACATTCAGCCCAGTCCTCTGCCAGCACCTTCCTGAACACTGTGCCTCCATCAGGGACAGGTTTAAGTTTCCAACATACCTTCCAAGGGCCAGCACACTTTCAAACATGTACATACCAGAACATTTCTTTGTTTTTTTTCTCAAAACAATCATCCCATAGAACAGAATAATATTTCATTTCATTTCACATGCTGATTTTTCAATCTCTTGTAGTTCTGTGCAGGTCTGATCTGTTAAGTGTCATCATGGTAAAAATTCTGAAAGGTAATATGTGAATATGGAATAAGTGATTTGTTTAAAACTAGAAAGCAGCAGTTGTTGTTCTAGTATTTTCTACAGACAGATGCATTCCATTACTGTATTACGAAGTACAGCTTTGCTTTTCCAGCATTTACTGTAAAAACTGGGGCTTGAGTTAGATTTCCCAGGTTTGGTTGGGTTTTTTTTCAAATCAAAGAGAAAAATAAAATCAAACCTAAAATACTGATGTGCTGTACTCTTTAGTGCTAAGTGACAGTTTCTACACATTTTACCTCCTGCCTGGGGAATTACATAAATGAGAAATCTTGTTTTAATTATTTTCTTACGGAATATTCTTACGTTAAATCAGTTCAACACAGATGAAAACTTCCTAAGTTCATCTTACAGTGCAATTGTTCTTCAGAAGCCTTTACTGTACTGTACTATTTCCATAAAGTTCCATCAATAACAACCTGCTCTCATTTGCATCAGGCAAATCACCTTCCCTTGCAGGAAGGGAATCTTCCCAAGCCTCTCCAGCATCAGCTGCTGTGGGCAGTGCAGGGTCCCTCGTCCACAGGAGGACATGTTCCAAAGAAAGGACCAAAATACTCATTTGAAAACAAAAGAATGCACTCAGAGAATTGAGGTTCCAAGAGGGTTTGTTTGGGTTTCTTTCCTTTTCCTTTCACTTGTGTGCACGTGTGTGTATATATTTTGTAAGGTGGAGCTTCAAAAGGAAAACATGGTTAGAGGAACTCTTTAAGACCAGAAATTCCAGAGTAGTAAAGTAAACCAAAGCTCTAAAGGAAACAAAAGCTGCTTTCTTGTGTTTCAAGAAAAGTTTAAAAGTTTGTGATTCATCCTGTAACTAATGCCGTAACTAGAGTATATAATTTGACTTAAATTAAGTTTTCATTTGAGAAATATTTTCATTTTCTTTAAAAGAATATAGTTTTCTTCCAAGAACTTGGACCAACGTTGATTTTTATTTTGTAGGAAATAAATGAATTCCCAGTTTGTATATCATGTAACTAGTTTACATGCTGAAAATATACATTAGTTAACTATTTTTGTATATATATATATCCTTGTAAAACCTTTCAATGTGCTTCTGTCTTTTAGTCTTTAGAATTACTTGTGGTTTTGTGTTTCAGTGTTTGATTCCCCTGATTGTTGAAGAAAAAAATTGGGAAATGTAGATTTATTTATCTAAAGAAGAAGCTACTTGCTATCATCTTAAGTTATTTAATATTAAAGTCAGAAGTTTCATTTAACCTTAGATGCTATAATCTGCTTTTTTCAATAAAGACATTTTGTAGTTATGTCTGGTTTTGTAATCTGTTGCATGTAAGTATTTTTTTTTTAAAATTTAATCTAGGTGGGCACTAAAAGAATTTTCAGAACCCTTGTATTGCCTACAGAAATGCCTGACTGATATTAATTGATTGCAGCTGCATTCATGAAAGATTTTGGTCCTCTAGTGCAAGTGTTACTAATTAAGGTCTAAAATATGCCCACAGCTAACGTTCTGCAGCTGCACTCAGAAAAGAATTTAGTCACTCTGGCACTTTTTAATTAAGCTTTAACTAGTCTGGCTAGTTCACATGTCAGACAGTCAGTATTGAGGAACACTTCCTTTTCAAAACTCTCATTATTTTTTGGAGTGTTACACAAGAGAATTATTTGCCTGGGCTATGAACTTAGCTTGAAGCACTTGGACCTTGGTTTGGGGAACTTTCTCTATATTCTTGCTAAATCACAGTAATCCAGAAAGTGTGGCCAAAGCTCTGATAGGATCAAAGAGATGCATGTTTATCTATTTTGCCTTTTTGAAGCTTTTTGCCATCTTCCTGATTCCAGTTTCACGGCACAGATGGGAGCTTGGTCACATGTACCTTCCCTCACCCCATGGTCCTGCAGGAGCAGCTGTGTCTGTCAGGCAGAACGTGCTCTGGTGTCTTGTCTCCAGCTGGCCAGGGGAGAAAGTACAACAGCCAGTTCCTTCCTTGTTTCCTCATAGCCAGTGTCCTTCGTTTCCATCAGGCTGGCCAGTCTGCTCTCCTGGTGAATGTTCTTCCCTCCAGTGACCGGCAGACATCAAACACTCACAAGCTGCTCTTTGCGTCTGTGGCCACCCTCCCATCAGAGGGGCCTCTGCAGCTCTGCCACCCTGGCTTGGCAAAGCCCAAATAACTTCACAGCTGGAAAGAAACTTCCTAGAGGTTTTCCCACAACGGCTATTTTGGCAAATTTTTCTTCTGCACAGTCAGAATGGAAAGAGTTACAGATGCCACAATTGTTTTAGGGACAGTCTGCACTTCGGTGCTTTGAAACAGATGTACCATAATTCTGTAGGGCCTTCACATACATGCTGTTTTCTCACTCGTTATTTTCAAAAATTCATTCAGAATGAGCAATCCATGCCCTCCTTGAAGGAAATAAAAAAAAAAGCCACAAAGACTGGCCAACTCAAAGCATTTTAACAGGGCCTTACTACATGGGTAACACAAATGTACTTAATAAAAATCTAGGACATCTTAATGCAGCAAGAATTTACACCAACTCATAATCAGCCTGACTGAAAAGAACAGAATACTTTAAAATCTTAACTGTTCTGTGTGGGCCTCCGTGCAGAAAGCACATACTGGAAAAAAGAACATTCTGTGCTGGGTCTCTGGCCCTGTGCTGGGTCTCTGGCCCTGTGCTGGGGTCCCTGGCCCTGTGCTGGGGTCCCTGGCCCTGTGCTGAGTTCCCTGGCCCTGTGCTGGGTCCCTGGCCTTGTGCTGGGTCCCTGGCCCTGTGCTGGGTCTCTGGCCCTGTGCTGGGTCCCTGGCCCTGTGCTGAGTTCCCTGGCCCTGTGCTGGGTCCCTGGCCCTGTGCTGGGTCTCTGGCATGGCAGCCAGGTCACAGCCCACGTGTTCTGACACTGTTGAATCCCATGGCTGCTAAACCTGGCGTGCAGATGATTTGGGAGGGCCTGGCCAGCCCTGTTCTTCCATCTCACCAGCTGTCCCCAGGGCTGCACCCCTCACCTTGCAGCTACTGCACAGAACCAGGATTCTGCCAGGTCATCCCAGGACTGAGCCAGAGACATTTGGCTACTTATGGAAACTATTAGGAGTATGTGAACTAGGCTGGTGAGGTTATCTTCATTCCCCACAGTTCATAGACTCAGAATAAATGTGGCTGGACAAGATGTCATTTGATGCAACACCTCACCCATCAACACACACATGTGCACACAAAGCAAAATATGCACGTGTACATAAATCATAGAATTGTTTAGGTTGGCAAAGACCTCTAAGATCATTGAGTTCCAACCATTAACCCAACACAGCCAAGGCCCCTACTAACCTGTCCCCAAATGCCACATCCACACACCTTTTATATCCACCCAGGGATAGTTATGCCAATGCTTGACAACCTGTTCTGTGAAGACATTTTCCCTATTACCCTGCCTAAACCTCATCTGGCACAACTTGAGGCCATTTTGTCTTGTCCTGTCCCTTGTTTCCTGGGAGAAGAGCCCAACACTCCCTGGCTGTCCACTCCTGTCAGGGAATGTGCAGAGCCAGAAGGTCCCCCCTGAGCCTCATTTTCTCCAGGCTGAACCCCTTCCCCAGCTCTCTCAGCCACTCCTGGGGTTCCAGCCCCTTCCCTGGACATGCTCCAGCTCTCCCAAGTCTTTCCTGTAGTGAGGGGCCCAGAGCTGAGCACAACACTCAGGGTTTTTCCTCAGCAGTGCCAAGTACAGGGTGACAATCACTGCCCTGGTCCTGATGCCCACTTGGTTGCTCCTGGGCTCATGTTTAGCCACTGTCAGCAGCACCCCCTGGGCCTTTCCCTCTGTGCAGATTTCCAGCCCCTCTGCCCCAGCACGTTGCTCTGCTGGTGGTGGTTGTGACCCAAGGACAAGACCCAGCATTTTACCCTGTTGACCCCTCACACAGATGACCTCAGCCCATCCATCCAACCTGTCCTGATCCATCCCTCAGCAGAGCCTTCTACTCTCCAATAGGTCAACACTCCCACCCAACTTGATGTCATCATTGGATTTAGCTAAATTTGCTAAACAGTGACCAAGAGCTACTGGACATGGAGTAGGAGACATCAGTCTTCACTGGGTGTCTAAGCTAGACATGAAAATGTCACCCTCTAAACAGAGGGCTTTGGTTTCTGGAATAAATTGCAGGCCATTCCTCGGTCACCACTACTGGGCTCATCAGCAGCTGATTTATGTAATTTTAAAAGCTATGGGGTTCACCATAACTTCTGATAAAACTCCAGAAGACCAAAAAAATATTTTCTTTCTGTTCAAAAATCATTTGAGATCCTATCAGAGCACTCAATATAATTCCCACTATCTCTTAACACTTTGAGATAACAAAGGCAAGGTCCCATGTTGTTTAAGAACATATATTAAGAACTGGCTCATGTCTGCAGTACCTGCACTGTCCCTGTGCTGTCAGTTTCTGTCCCATCTGAAGACAATACACAACATTAGAGAATATAAATCACTGCTCACACAAAGAGCACAGGAGAAGGACAAATTGAAAACTGTACAATAAGTAAGAGACCATGAGGAGATCTGGTTTGCCAGAAGTGATTAAGTATCTATCCAGCAACACATTTAAGAACAAATTCTTAAAGGTTTGCATCACAGCTGAAAAAAGAAATCCTCAAACCCCCTCATTTGTATGTACATGTCTGGGAAGCCATTGCCTTGAAGAACAAGGTCTGCTTTGGTTAGTCACAGTAAGTCAAGCGGTTAAGTGGACTATCCAAAAAAAACATGTTAATTAAAAATTTGGCACATTTAAACTATTGCAGGAATGTTAAAGCCAACTGATCAGTTAATTACTGGCTGCTCTGGCGAGGAAATGAAAGCCAGAGACACCCTCAGTGCCTCCAGCACAGGAAGGGAACGGTGACACGCACAGTTCCCAAACGGTGTCAGCAGGCCTGGCACTGCTGACCCTGGCACTGTGCTGGGTCCTGCTGAGTCCTCAAGGGCATTGGGACAGGAGAGGAAATCACTGGATAAAGCTGGGTCTTTTACTATCTCAGGCATGCAGCTGAAAAGTTCCTCGGTCAAATGCAACAAGCTATCAGAGGGAAATAAAGCAGTGACAAATTCTGCTCTGTGAGGGTTGGGTATTGTGAGGATTTGGTCTCACCTTGGTGTCTTGACCTGAAGTTTTCAAAGCTCACACACTATGGATGGATACACAACAGAGTAGGGCAGAAAATTAAAATGGCCTGTGTGGCAGGGTGCAGTGCCAAGGAGAGAATAACAAAAGAGTTATCTGCAGTACCTTCAAGCCACATGTTTAACTGCACTTACCTGTATCAATGGACATGGCTCCCAAAAATTTTTTTCACAGAGCTTCTTCAGTGAAGCAAAAGAAGGGGCTGGTGTCCTGCATCAGGCATTGCTGCCTGTCTCCCAACAGGATGGTAATGACACTCCTCCACATATGGCTGTGTCTGGGCTCACCTGGGAGTTCATCCTTTTTCCCACTTCTTCCTATGTCAGAAAAAGAACAGGGGAAATAAAAAAACATCACAGCTTTCTGCACCATTTACTTTCCATTCCCTATCGGGGCATTTCCCAGCAAAGGAGAAGAAGAAGCTGGCTGGGCACAAGGCTGGGGCTGTCGGTGCAGTGTCACTGTCACACGTGAATCCTTCTGTAAAAATGGCAAGCCTTGGCCCAACAAACATCATGGTCACTTTAGACACATCCCACTGCTTCTAGTGATGTCTTATCTTGTGGAATAATTCATTTCTACCTACATTCCTCACCCATAAAAGTTACAGCAGCAGTTTATTTGGCTCGTTCTTTTATCACCCCAATATACTGCAGTTAATGGTAAAAGTGACAGACATGCAGCTGGATTTAGATCTGCCTTTACTTGGCTATAGATGTTATTTCATTCTCTATTTAAAAGAAAATATTTGTGACCTTTTTTTTAATTACTTACTCTCTTTGCAATCAGTTGCTAGCTGCTCACCTAACCACAGCACATTTTCAAATCTCTAGTTAAAAACTTATTTTTTAAAGCCAGAAAAGCCTATTTTTAAAATTAATAAATGTACTGACAGTTAATATATAACTGGCCAATAATTTTTCAGAAGCCTCATCAGAATGGGGAAAAATTAACAAAGAAGTCTGTATGGAAGAGTCCATGAATGCTCCTGAAAAGGAACAGAAGTCCCTAAAGAATGTGCAATTCAAACAGAATCAGAAAAGAAGGAAAGTGGAGCAAGAAAAAACTTTCTTTTCATGTTTCTTGGATAAGGCCTTGATCAACCTGATGTTGTGGGAGGTGTCCCTGCACACGGCAGGGGGGGTTGGGATTTGATGCTCTTTAAGGTCCATTCCAACCCCTAACATTCTGTGATTCTCATTTTATTCTGCAACATACAGAAGAAAACCTGCTAAACCAATGGCTCTGGCAGGCACCAGACAGTGCTTTGATAAAGCATGATGGATTTCATCATCTGATGATTTTTTTTTTTTCCTGCATTAATCACAATATCTTCAGAGGTGAAATACTTTCCTTGGCTGATGAGCCAAAAGATAGTGTGAAGTTAGGCAGCTACTGCACTGCAGTCAGTAATTTCCATATGACTTTTCCCAAAAGCTTTATGGCTTTATTGGCACCCAAGTCCAAGGATCTCCTGCAGCAGGAGTTTGCTTGCAGGCTTAGCAGGCACAGTCAGGGAGGACAAAGGAGGAGGCACCAAAGGCTGCTGTTTTCCTTGAGCTGGATCTTCAATTGCAGCCTTGTGCCTGGTGAGCTCGGCTGGGTATGAAGTGCCAGCTGCCCCTCTTTGTGAAGAACAGCAAAGCTCCCTTGATGTGGTGTATGAGCAGTCTCTGCTTTGTCCAAAGTCTTGGCAGTTTACTCTCACTGCATGTTGTCCTTTGTAGCTGCTTGTGAAGAGGGCAAAGGTTTTGTTTGTCCTTACAGCACCTCCCACCTCAAAAAAGCCCAAATCCCATATGTATATGAATTCACTGTAAATACTGTACTCAATATATGCAGCTAAAAAATCCTCATGTAGAGGTGTAAGCGGGCTGAAGGGCTGTTGTGTACAAAGTTCTCCTTTTAGAGGGAAGCTGGTCCCATCAGATTCACTGACAGAGGGTTACAGAGTATTTTACACATTCCCCAGTATTACTTGTTGGGGCAGATGATAACACCACTGACATGTACATAAGCACATTTCCTCTCACTGTGTGATAGTAGTTACTCCTCACTCCCTCTCCAGCTGAAGTGTACCAAATATCCTGTTCTACCAGGAGGAAATTCTCCATCTGAGCTGCAGAGCACACACAAGGACAGGCAGCAGAGGCAATGCCCCCTGTGACCACGGCAGGGCACAGCCTGGGGCCAGGCATGGCCAAAGATGGGGACCAGACTGTGGTGGTGCCCCACAGCTTCCCCCAACAAAGCTCAGGTCTGTGAGCACAGCAAGATGAACCCTCTGGGGTTTGCTGTGTTTGGGTCTCAGGGAGAGAAAAAAGCTGCAGCATGTAGAACTAAAGGTGGACAAAAGGAGAGAAGAGTCAGAGGTGACACAGCCAGGGGCTGGATTGAAGAGCAGCTGGTCATTGCTCAGCCTCCTGCATGGTGTCAAGTGCACCAACTTTGAAGGACATGGGAATGTCACCAGAGGACCTTTTCCAGCAGAAATACCAAAGTTATTTCAAAGCAGGTACCCTTGAGGAATGTTCCCAGCCCTCCCCAGCTACCAAAGTGAGCACTAGAAAGGCAAGAACAGCACCTCCAGTTCCTCCCCATCTCTGCCAAAATGGCTGGAAGCTGAGGGCCAGCACAAGAACTCATCGAGCCCCCAGAGCTGTGGAAGGAACCCCCACAGCTCTGCTGTGCTCCTGCCTGAGGAGATCAGAAATGATTATCTGGGACACCGTGGAGGAAACCCTCCTCCTGTGCCTGCTGCTGTGAACTGCAGTGAACTCCAATAAGTCCCACCACAGCAAGGCCAGGTTTAACTGTGTACTATCTCAATTTTTTTTTTCCCATGTTTTGATAGTAGAAGATTCTGGAAGTCACTAAAAATAAGTTTGTTTGGGTTTTTAAGCCAAATTCAAACATATTTGTGTCATCTTTCAAGATGGCACCTCCCCCTTGCGCCTACTTGACAACAGATTTGTCAGTCATTAAGAATGCTCTGTATGCACAGAAATATCTCGGGTTACTTTTCCCATAATCAAAAGAAAACAAATCCCAGAGCAGGCCTGGCAGGCCACTTCCGTCCAGCACTGCTGCCCCCCGAGACACATCAGCCTCAGCTGCTGCCTTCAGAGGGCAAACAAGGGAGTTCGCTTCCAATATAAAATTAGACATTGAAACAAACTGACCTTCCCCCCCCTCCCAGAAAAAACCAACAAACCCCAAGCTCTAGCCCAGCTATTTCTCCATTAAGGAGACATTAATTAGATGTATGTGAGTGCTTGGGCTGGGTAGGGCAGCACAGAGGTTGTGTCCTTGCTGTGCTCTGCTCTCAGTGCTGGCTGCTGCTCCCAGCACCTTGGGAGTGCTGCTGCCCCAGCTCAGTTTCCAGGGTGCCCTCTCCCTCTGCCTGCTCCTTCCTGATTATACAGGATTGCCATTTAGGAGTTTTTTACCTCATTATCCTCCTTTAAATCCCTCCCTAATACCTTCATCTGTTGTTATGGTTAAATGAATTTTGCCAATTAGAGATGGTAACGTGCTATGGCTATGACCTGTATCTATCTGCCCTGCCTAAATTTGGGCAGTAAGTTTCTGAGGGAAAAAAGTCCTGGTTTTAATTAGAAGGAAGACAGTCTTGCAATCTGACAAATTTACAAGTAAATATCAGCAAATCTTTCAGTATTGCCAAAATCTTGCCTAATGTAATAGCAATTCTGCTATAGGAAGAATTTTTATATCTAGCACTGAAAGCTGTCCTTATTAAAAATGAAATATATAAAATGAAAAATAAAAAAAAAAATTGATCACAGCCATCCTTAGCAGTACCATTCCTGCAGTGGGTTTACATTGCTAGGTATAAATTAAAGAGATTCCATAAGCAGTTTGCAATAATTTACTCAATTAGCCTTTTGATTTCCCTGTCCATTTTATGTAACATTGGTGAGAAAATTGCTGGCTGCTATCTAGAATTGTTGATGAAACCTTCTGGAATGCTTTGCATTCTTGTGATGGGGACCTTAGCAGAGACCACTGTCGGCACTCTTGGGTCTACAAGGTCAGATGAGTCACTGCAGCGTCTCCTTTTCACGTCTGATCAAGTGTGCAAAATCCTGGGGACAAATACTCCTGCACATTACTCTTATGTCCTGGGGATCTTCATTCAAAACCATTCAGAGAAAACAAGCATGAAACAAGGCTGCGAAGTGACATCATTTAAGAATTTCAGCAGAGTTACAAAAAACATCTGGGGGCCTAAGCCAACCTTTTGCTACCCACATACAGTACCCAGCACAATGGAAACCTAATGTATTATTGTGGCCCAATAAACAATTTCAGCAGACCTGCTAATTCATTAGATGTCTCACCTTATGCATTTATAACAGCTTTCAACATCCCAAGATCTTTAATCCTCAACTAGGCCTCTTCCCTTAAAAACATGTGTCGTGGCACATCCAGTGTGGAAATGCAAAATAAGTGTTCTGTATCATCACATTTTTTTTGGTGTGGAGCTGCACAAATTTCACCCCAGAGAGCTCTGGAAAAGAAGAAAATTACAGTAGCTTTAATCACAATAAAATATTCAGAAGGTGAAGCTCAAACACATAAAGGATTCCAGTTGTGAAAGGTTTTTCACTGTTGTTCAGTGCAAAGAAATAACCAAAGGCACCACTGAGCATTGTCAAACCCCTGCTGCATCAGCCTTCATGTATGTAGGATTCCACAAACCACTACACTGGGATTTTATATTCATGTTTAAGCCAAAACCTAGTTCTTTTTCTTTGCTAGTGAGAGGGGAAGGGCATGGGCAGGGAAATGTACAGAGATTAGAGCATGGCAGAGAAAAGAGCAAGGAGAGAAAGGAAAGTTTTTTTCCAGTGCCCAAGGAAAAAAACTACCTCTCTTTCATTTGGAGACAAATTGCTTCTCAGAGCTGGGTTTCATGAAAAGCAGCAGCTGAGCACGGCTCCTGGGGGAATGTGTTTGGCCTTGGCAAAGGCACTCAGCCTGGGGGCACAGCCAGCTCTTCGGACAACTCAATCCTGTCAAAGCTCTTGGTCCATGAGCAAGATTTGGTGCAACTCCCCATCCCTCAGGGCACTTAAGGATCACCAGAAGTCAGAGACAGACCCACTGCCCCAGGTCCCATGGCAGAGTGGACGCCCCCCTCGTGACCATCCTCGCGTCCCATGGGGAGCCCATGTAACCTCCAAGTAGCAGGAGAGATCTAGACCAGATATTACACATGCAGACTCTCCCTTTAATGTTCATACCCAGGCCTCTCAGCAAAAAGCAGCAACACCACACAACTGCAGCAATCAGCCCAGCCACCAGCATCACTTTTGTGATGGACTGCATGCCTACCTCACCTCCACACAGATAAAAGTGTCTGCAGCCAGTGACAAGCTTATACAATTAAAATGCCTTCATTCCTTGATTTCTTAACTTTCAAAAAGATGATGCTGGAGTAGAGGTGTGAAAACACAGAAGACTTTCCCTTTGAGAATGGCCCACTTCCCAGCTTTTTAAATACTTGCATACAGGACACTGCAGAATGCCATACAGCCACCTAGTGCTGGAAAAAAAATCACTTCCCACATCTGGGACTGTCCTTTGTAGTCCCACAAGTGCAGTTGAGACCAAGTGTCCAGCAAGGAGGAACAAAAGCCAAGTCTCTGCAAAAGTCATGACTGCACTTCCAGTTCTGGACAGCAGCAAGTTTGAGAACAAAACGGCTGATGAACCGCACACAGGAAACACACTTTTATCCCAATAAAGACAAGGAAAGACATCCCACAAATGACATGACTGTGGCTGATGTTATCTGTGGCACATCTCAGTACTCTGGGTTAGGCTGAGTAGCAAGAAGATCTGATTATTTTCAAGGGTACCCAAGCTGCCCACCCCACTGCTGACCCTCCCAACTCTGTCTCACCAAACATGTTGCTCTCTTCCTGACAGGCAACTACTACGATTTTCTTCAGTGAAAATAATCTCATTTCACAGCAATTCCTTGCCATGATGGGACCGAGATTTCCTGTCCTCATATCTAATCATGGCTAGAAAATGAAAGTACAGCATGTTCCTTCCAAGCCACTTGCTCCTACATTCACCTGCTCCTAGACATAGGCAGTCACGTGGAGCTGTGGCGTGGAACAGATCAGGGAAATCTGGATTAAAACACTTCCAGCAAAGCGAAAAAGACAAGAAAGAAAGGTTTGCATTCAGCCAGGTCCATTACCTGGGTCCTGCTCACCACTTGGGGAAACAGATGCTTGTGCCAGTAGGAGGCTGGGACAGCCCTGGCACCTGATATTTTCAGCAAACTGCAGCTCCAGTCATCATCTCTGCCCCACCACAGCCAGAAACTGCCAGCAGAAATCTGGAAAATGCCCTGCAATGCCTCCACTAGGGCATAACCCTGATCAAAATCAGGTTACTTAGTTAAAGCTTTCTTTGAAGCCTGTGTTTTTCCATAGCTTCTAGACTGGTTGCCTGGAAGATGGTAGAGCTAACCCCACTCAGGATGCAGGCAATTTGAATGGAATATCCAGTTTGGAATATCCAAATTTATTGGGGGGTTTTCCTTTTAGAATTTGAAAATATTCTGCCATGCAGCTAGCTAACCAGGTCTTAGAGGGATATGGTTTCTTGTTCTCTTGCTTATAAGGGAAACTTGAAACGAATTAAAATTATACTGGCCTCGTACTAAAGGTCAGCGTTGTGGGGAAAGATGACTTGTTCGGAATTCAGTCAGGAAGTTTAACACAAATAATCCAGCTTGAAGTCAAAAAAAAAAAAAAAAAAAAAAGCAAAAAAAAAAAGCAGTGCTGATAGAACTAATTTAAGTATTAAATCTCTTTTTTTCCAAGCATTTTTTTTCCCACTGATAAGCCTAGAAGCTTTTAAAGCTGCCATGTGAAAAATTATTTAGTTAGGTGTGAAAGAGATATATATTGGTACCTTCCCAGATAAAGCCAGGCTTTTATCAGAAGATTTCCACAGGAATGAGCAGGAACAAGCATGAGAAGGAGCAAAGTGTTTTGTTATGCATTACTGTGGAGATAGATTGCACTGTACAGAGTGTCACAAATACTTGTGGTAAAGCTTTAGGCTGCCCAAAACTATATTAGGAAAATGTTCATGCCATGAAAAGGGGAGAAGAGCTAACAAAACCCAACAGTTATTTGCAAATAACTACTTCTTTGTTATATAGTGCATTTATACAGATGCCTTCTGTATCTGTAAAGCTACATTAGCCTCTATAAGGCTACATCATAAATTACATTTGGAACTGTTCAAGGACTTACCTTAAAGCCTTTCTGAGCTTTCTCTATTCTAATCTCACTAGAAACAGGATGCTCTACCTTCAAGTCACTACCAGCCTTGAAATAATGCCTTCAAAAAGAATTAGAAAGCATTTATGTTTTAGAGAATAGATTTGTGTTTGTATGTATGTAAATACCTATGTCCAAGTGTTTTTTTAATAAAGTCCATAGGGATACAGTGGGTTAGGAGATGCCTCCCAAAACTGCAGAAAATTGAACATGAGTAGTTGACTCCTCACAGATTTATACCTCTCTGGTAGGTCTGGCTGAAGCCAAAGGGGCTATAAAGCATCTGCATCCAAAAGTCTACATCCAGACTCCACCAGTTTGGTTTTGTTTTTCTGGCTGACCAAAAGCTGTTACCAAGAAACGAGCCTTTTGAGCCCTTCTGTCATTTCAGAGCATTCAGTTCCATCAGAAATTGTCTGCTCACATCAAACTGGTTCTGCTTGGGACTGGAGAAATGTTAAAATCACATGAGCTGCAGTCTTCCTGTGGCAGTCACATCACCCAGTGAGTGTCAGGAGTGCCAGGGTCAGAGGCAAAATTAAACTGTCCTGCAGACAGAAACGACAGGAACAAACCAATAAGTCTGTCTTCTTCTTAAAAGAACTTCCTTTCATTTCCAGAGCTGCTGAGCTGGAACAATAATCAATTCACTTTGAAAGTGAAGCTTTAAATTCACTTTCTATGCCTGAATCTAACAGGACAACAGACAATCTATCAAATCCTAATAATAAAATAGCTTTCATGTTTTCTAGACAAACACTTGGGTAATTTTGCAGTTAAGAGTTACTGTGACCCACATTTGACCAGCAAATATGCACTTGATGAACGTGAATTAGCACAATTCGCACTCCAGGCTATCCGAAGACATCTCTGCTATGTCACCTGCACTCCCAGTGCCACCCCTTGCGATGCTGCACGATCGTGACTCGCTGCTGCCCTCTTTACTCCAGCAGCAGCTCCAGGAAGAACACAGCAGAGCCAGGAATCTTTCTCCCACCCGGTTACTCAATCTCCACTACTTGTTCTCTCTTCTCAGCGAGAATAACTCGGAGAAAGTTACACTTCGCTTAGAAGAAAACCCCCACCCTTTAGTCTGGGGTGGGGAAAACAGGACAGAAAGCAGAACTGACCCACTGAGTGCTCCCTCACAAGCTTTTGCCACCCAAGGTGTTGTAATCAGACCGTAACACGTGGCTGTTCCCTTTCAGCTCTAATGAAGCATCAGCAAATGGATAACATATCTACAGCCTCTCCCTGGCTCTGGGAGGCAGGTGCAGCCTCAAGAAAGGTTCACAAAATGGATTTAGATGTGACAGATTTGTAAATTCCCAGGCAGCTATCCGGAAAAATCTGCCGCTGCCAAAAATGTGCTCTTTGGAACATCACTGAATGTCTTCTGTGTTTACAGTAATGGTTTCACTTCGTTCAGTTCCTCAAGAGGAAGGATCAGAAGGACATCAAAGAAATATTAGATCTTAGGGTGTTTAAATGAAAGTGTCGGCACCAGGGCTCTTGCTGCAGCTGCTTTGCAGGGAGAGACACCTGCAAGTGCTCTCCCAGAGCAACTGTGGTGTTTTCTAATAGATGTGGAACACTTATTTCAATGGGAATCCATTTGCAAATCCTCCCAAATCTCAATTTCCTACATAAGGTTGTATAATAAAGTACAACCACAACAATTCCAGCTCTGCCTTGAACGGGGGAGATGTTTTGTTTTGTTTTTTAAAATGGCTTTTGGAAGGTTAGTGTTCCTGTGCCATATAAAAATATAAATTTAATCCATGGTCACTTTATTTTTTGTTGACTTGAGACATTTTTTTTCAGTTTGTCTTGTTTCTCAAACCAGCAAAAATGAAAAAATTCCCTGAAGTGCCATTTTTAATGCTGAATATTAGAGGCAAATGTTCCTTTTGGCCAAACCCTTAAAAGTTCCTTCAGCTCTGCCCTTCACTTGTAATTAAGAGTCAGACAGTCTATTAGCTATTCTGCTTCATGATTAAGTCTACAATATACTGAAAAATAAGAAACAGCAACGCTAACCCAAAGAGTAAATGCCTCTCAAGTCTTCATTTATATATGTCATTCCAGCAAAGCCCTTTGGCATGACTGTAGCACAGCAGCAACCCCTCTTTTATGCCCTGTTTTTCCAACAAACCTGTTAAACTTCAGGCAAATTTCCTAATGAAGAAGCCTTTATGTT